TTGCATGAAAACTGTTGGGACACAGCATGTACATGAGATCACTACTTATGGTTTACAAAGATAAAAGTTTCCTTATAATGAAAAGATCTAGTAGACATCTCTCTAACCCATCAATCAAACACAGCAGCACTATTGCTGCTGATAATGAAATAATCATCAAAACCAAATTATGATCCATTCTACCAGGTTTCGAGTCTTCAAATCTATCAATGTTTGAAGATAGAAACATGGGATGACTGTTCTGGATTAAAGGCTATTGAAGAGACATATAAAGATAACTTAACACTTAGTGGATCTTGTATTTGGAGGGAAAAACCCATCATGAAATCTTGGATACATTTGGGAAAAATTAATTAGTGACAGTAAATCAGATATTATTTAATTAATATTAAATATTTAGGTGTTAAAATTATATTGGAGTTATGTAAGAATATGTCCTTGTTCTTAGAAGTCACCTGATAAATTATCTATGCTGAAGTAGAGTAATATTTGCAAGTTATTAAGAAATGGGTTGGCCAAATTAGAATAAATATCTACAGACATGTATAAGTATACACATGTTCATATATATTTCTGTTTATAAAGACAAAGAGAAAAGCCAATGTAGCAAAATATTAACAATTGATTTAGGTAAAAGGTATAAAATGGTCATTTTACTGCTTTTTTTCAAGATTTGAGTGGATTTGAAATGTTCAAATTAAAAATTTGAGAGAAATATCAGCAGATAGCTAAGAGAGTTCAACAACTTGCTAAGCTCCACAAGACCATTTGAAGGAGTAGAAACAATACTCTCTTCCATTTAGCCAGGACTTGCTTTCAGAAGGATGCAGGTGAACCTGGGGTATCAATATCAGCCTAAGATTGGTGTTTTTCAATTGTCGTTTGAATTACAGCATGTACTTGTTTTTTTTGTTTTGTTTTGTTTTGTTTTGTTTTGACAGGCAGAGTGGACAGTGAAAGAGAGAGACAGAGAAAGGTCTTCCTTTGCCGTTGATTCACCCTCCAATGGCCGCCGCGGCCCGCGCGCTGCGGCCGGCGCACCACGCTGATCCGATGGCAGGAGCCAAGTACTTATCCTGGTCTCCCATGAGGTGCAGGGCCCAAGTACTTGGGCCATCCTCTACTGCACTCCCTGGCCACAGCAGAGGGCTGGCCTGGAAGAGGGGCAACTGGGACAGAATCCGGTGCCCCGACCGGGATTAGAACCCAGTGTGCCGGCGCCACAAGGTGGAGGATTAGCCTAGTGAGCCGTGGCGCCAGCCTACAGCATGTACTTGTTTCATTTTTGTGCAATGGCCCAATCTTATGTCCTTGATATTTATTAACGACTGCTGTTCCTCTAGGTCTCATCACGTTTTCTGTCAAAATAATGGCATTGTCCACCATTGAATGTGAGCCCATTTCCCACACCTTTTACTCTTATCAGTTTCATTCAGAAAACGGAAAGCTGCAGCACCCTGATGAGTCAGAATTCTACAAAGCAGCACTTGGCTGCACTTTTGGTGCAAAACCCAGAGTCTTTAAATAACAGATTCTTGAACTTACCCTGAAGCTTTTAGCCTTCAGAAATACATAACAGTTCCATGTATCTTGTTTAAATAAACCTCTTAGCAAGCTGTGTGTGTTAAAACGAGAATACTAACTCTTGCAGAGAAAACCCTCCCTTCCATAATCTAGGATGGATGTGGTTGTTATTTGTTTAAAACTGCAAGAAAACAGATGAGCTGCCATGCAATTTATACAAAACCAGCCAGGGAAATAAAAGCACCAGACTTGATTTCTTTTGTTTTGCTCTGTTGGTATAAGAGCTATATGATCAAAAATCTTATATTCCTCCATGAAAAATTTAACTCTATTTTTAAAGATTTGGCACTGACATTCTTTTGCCTTTATAATAAATTAGTAAAGACCCTTGGGTTATACTTAACTGTTCTAACACAAATCCTCTGCAACCTCAGGAGTTTCTAGCATCTCATTTCTTAGCTCATTTTCTGAACAGAAAAATTGGTCTCCCTCTACCTACTCTCTCTCTCTCTTTCTCTCTCTCTCTCACTCTCTCTCTTTCTCTCACATTTTTATACAACTTGCTTACTTTTTAGGTCATCTGCCATCTGTTACTCCAGAGAGTAGCTTTCCTGAATGCAAGTGAGAAAACCACACAGATCAAAATTAAGAGATCAAACTGTGTGTGCATGAACCCCGACTCTCCTCCTTTCTATCTGTATGAACTTGGAGCCTCAGTTTCCTTATCTGTAAAATGGAAATCATAACCCTACCACAGAGTGTGGTGGCTCAGAATAGAGGTAATATACATAATGCAACTAGTAGAGAATGAATCTTGTAATTAATACTATAATTAATAATTATTTTATTGCAGTTTTGTAATAACACTATCTAAACACAAATTAATAATAGTGCAGTCTATCAAATGAAGAGGTGGATTGTTCAGTAAAAATCTATGTGTTATACATGGTACTCCAAAGTGTTTATAGAAAGCAAAATTTAAAAGATAAGTTTGATCAGGCATTTGGGAGCAGTGCTATAAGCTGTCACTTGGGACACTTGCATCCAATAAAAGAGTGCCTGGGATCAAGTCCCACCTCTGCTTTTGATACAAATTTTTGCAAATGCGTCTGGGAGGTAGCAGGTGATAACCCAATTACCTGGGTCCCTGCCACCATATGGGAGGCCCAGATTAAGTACCGTACTCCTGGCTTCAATCCAGCCTAGTCCTGGATCTTGAAAAAGGCATTTGAGGAGTGAACCAGCAGATGGAAGATCTCTTTCTGTTCCTCTCTTGCCACCTCCTCCTTTGCTTTTCAAATAAATAAATGAAAAATAATTATTTTTTTAAAAAGATAAGTTTTTGGTAGATTTTTCTCAATATGCATGTCCATATGCATGAATTTCAAAATCTTTTTGCACCAAAATCAATTTATTTTTAAATTTCATTTTCCATGAACTTTTTGAAGTCCCCTCATACATAAGTCCAAAATGTGTTCAAACCCTACCAGAAATCATCAGCTTGACACACCCTTCAAAAATTCAGTGGTAACTATCTCTAAAAAAGAGATTTGATAACATGAACTATGTGATAAATGAACAAGTCATTTGATTTTTGTGTTATCTACATGTCTCAGTAGAAAGTGGAAGGCAGCCATAATGCTGTTGCTAACTGTCATATCCCCAAGAGACAACTGACTAAATGCAGAGCTTTGATACCTCCCTGAGAAACCCTAAATCAGAATCTCTGGGTGAGAGGACTGGGAACTTGCATGTCTGCCTGCACTTCAGAAGACATTTTTGTGCATTGCATTTTGATAGTTGTTGCTTTATTGTTAGACAAAGAACGAATTCTGCAGTCTTTGCTTTTTTACATTCTTTCATCAAGCCAACCAGACACACTGTGATAAACATGTGTGTTCAGCCACTGGTTATCGAAAAGAAACCAGATAGGAAAAGTACAAGTGTAAAGTCATGATCTCTGGAGTTAAAAGGGCCAGCTTGACCTGAATGTGGTGAAAGTTAAGCCAAGTTGAAAAGATTGTTCACTCAGGTATGAGAATATTATCTGCACCCACGTGGTTCTAGCCACACTGAGTCTTGGAACCTTCATCCTAGGATTAATCTAAATGCAGCATAGAATGGTTTCAAATTTTGAGCACTGTTAATGCTTTTAAGATTCTTGTCATCATCTCTCATTAGCACTCTTCTCTTTTATATCACTTATATTTTTAAAAATATCTATGGGGCCAGCATTGTGATGCAGTGAGGTAAGCTGTTGCTTGTGACACCCATATCCCTATCAAATGCCAATGCCAGCTGCTTGGCTTCCAATCCAGATTCCAGCTGCTCTGCCTGGGAAGGCAGCAGAAAAAGGTCCAAGTCCATGTAGGTCATCTGGATGGAGTTCCTGGCTCCTGGCTTTAGCCAGGCCCATACCTAGTTGTTGTGGTTATTTGAGAACTGAACCAGTTGATAGAAGTTCTCTCTCTCTCTCTCTCTCTCTCTCTCTCTCTCTCTCTCTCCCCTCACCTTCCTGTCTCTTTCTATGCCTTTCAAAGACAATGAAGATACAACTTTAAAAGTAAAAAGACCAGGGCTGGTGTTAAGCCTCAGCCTGAGGCACCAGCATCGCACATGTGCACAAGTTTTGAGTCCCAGCTGCTCCGTTTTCAATCCAGCTCCTTGCTGATGGCCTGGGAAAGCAGTGGAAGATGGTCAAAGTGCTTGGGGCCCTGCATCCACATGGAAGACCCAGAAAAAGCTCCTGACTCCTGTTCAGATCCGTCCAACTCCAGCTGTTGCAGCCATTGGGGAGTGAACCCATGGATAGAAGACTTCTCTCTGGCTGTAATTCTGCCTCTCAAATAAATAATTAAATAAATATTTTTAAAAGATACCTATGTATTACAGTTGGGTTTTGTTCACTGATGCCCCACAAGGTCAGACTTTAACTACACCACAGCAAGGTCATACACGTTTGAGCCCAGATCCAAATCTAAAACATTGCTAAGTACACAAGAATTAATAAGTGTTAGTTGAATTTTTTTTTACCAGTGCTTACCCATAAAGTTTAAATTTTCCCTCTACATAATTTCAAGGTTTTTTACAATATCACAAACAAGAAGATGGAGCAGCATAGTGAATGTGGGTTTTAGAAGCAGGAAGTCATGGATTTTCATGTCATTTCTACTGCTTTCTTGCTGGAAAACCTATAGACAAGATATTCAGTCACCCCCTTTCTCAATTTCTTCTTCATCTCAAGAAGCTTTGCTAAGTAAACAGAATATAAATGACAATTAGATTATAGCAATATCTCCAAAATTCAGAAGATAGTAAAAATATGGTCTGTGGAAAGAAGCTGTGGAATTTTGCTGGTTAAGAGACCACTGGCAAGGTTTCACTCTTCTTTACTCTCTAAATGACTTTTCATGGTAAATTACAAGCCATCCAACTCATCACATTTTAAACTCTGCAGATAAGCGACATGTACTCACAGGGTGTTCAAATTCTTGAGTTTCTTAAAGGCACTCCCTGGAATTTCTCTTATTCTGTTAAATCTCAAGTCTCTGGGAACACAAAACAAAAGAGAGAAATTACAATACGTTGATTCCCATTCTGTCCTTATTTCCAGGAGCTTAAAAGTTAATTCTCCTTTTGTGATCAAACATACAGCACTAAAGGACTAAACACAATTAAAATAGAGCAAGCACGTGTCACACACTGAAATAGGTTCATAGTTTATGGTAGATTTTGCATAGCTGGTGCTATGTGCTAACTCAGAGATGCCAGATCTTAGAGTTGGTTGGAGAATACTTCAGAGAGTTAAAAGCAGAAAATTCCCCTTAAGTTGCATTTGTACAAAACCAAAACAAACTCTCTATATGACAACATGCAAGTTGAGTATAGCTTATTTGGTAAAATATCAGATGTTGCCTATCAACTCAATTTAACACCCATGCTCGAATTTACCCAAAAACTGAATTAGTTAATTCTTCCCAGGAATGCAATAACTTTCCAAAGAGTATTAAAGCAAGGCAATAAATCAATTATTTTTAGAAAGATGCATCTCTACAGCCAACGATTAACATACTTCTTTATTTAGCAAGTAAATTAAGTGTCACATACAATATTAAACACGAAGACACAAAGAAGAGCAAGATATGGTCCCTGCTACTGAACACGAATAGTTCTGTGAGAAACTGTTGCAACACTGGGGTGTACACTGTCCATGAGACAACAGAGGAATAAACAAAGGCTGTGCACCGATGGTGGACTTAGGTGCTGATCTGTCCAGTCCCTCCCATCAATGGGAGAACGAATTGCTCTACTCCACCTGACTATAGTGGAAGTACCAATCATGTGCCTTTTCCTACTTTTTTAATCATGATATTTAAATTAAACTACACTATTGCTCTTCTGTACTTAGTTGAGAACAAATCTGCAACTGAGAAATTTAAAAGTTGTTCTGTCTTAAACCATTTGATTCACAAATCTTTATAAAATTACCTTAAAATCCTATCATTTTATGTTTCTCTTGATTTGACTTTGGCAGAACATGCACAATTTCATAATAGCTGCTATTTTCAATAAAAGTCATTAAATAACTCAGTGATTATGCATCCTTGTTAGGTGGAACACCTTGCTTAAAAACCATGCATTGCTTTACTACATGTTTAAATGGGAACTTTCTAAGGTACATGAGATCTTCTCTATATGCATAGAAGAAATGGAGTCACATAAACCCTAATGCTCCAGAAATAATAGTTTCCCTTTAAAAAAAAAATAACACAGCAATTTTAAATTAATAGTCACAAGAACTTTCCCCTCAGATTGAAGTAACACCCTGACAGTAGGGACTCCATTTTAAAACACCCAAGAGTCCATCTTGAAAAAGCACCCCTCACTGTGATGCTACGGTCTGAAACTAATTATGGTCTAAAACTAAGACAATAACAGTACCATGCATCCCATTTGGCAAAACATAGAAATCTCCTAGCTTGATTGCTCAAGCTTAAAACAGATAGGCTTCACCCAGATTAATATTAAGATTGTTATTTTCCATGTTTCACATATGATTTAGTTTGCTAACTAGACTAATGTCAAGATTGTAACTGGTATTGTGAAGATTGTAATTGGTATTAGTTTCGCATATGCTTTACATCAGCTTGAGCCTAGTAATCGTGTATTCCCCCCAAGCCTAGCAACCATGTATCCCCCCTCCTGTCCTCTTGGTTTTGCCTTTATAAATCCTGTTGTTTTGAGCTTCAGAGCCGAGCGTTCTTTAGGACATGAGCCCACTTTCAACCACTGGCAATTAGAGACTGCCAAATTTTATCAATGTGTGGTGCTCCTCTGATTGAACTCGCTCAGGCACAGGACTAAACCAGAAATCCTAATAATCTCCCCACCACAAGATTCCAACAATACACAAAGAAAGCAATATTAAAGGATAAACCATTTGCCTTCTTTTAGTTTGTAATTTTTGAAAAATTAGGAAAGTACATGTGAGAAAATAATGCTACTCCTTATAATCTACATGCAGAATTAAAAACTTGCATACTTTGATATAGTTGTTTCTACTCATAATATCACATTATTTTATTTTTACTAGCCAAAATATATGTAAAAACAAATTATAAGTCAGAATAAAACCTCTTTTAAGCACTATCTTAATTTTGGCTTTTCCCCCTCTCCATGAATATAAGCATTCATGATTTGTGAGAATTTCACACACACACACACACACACACACACATATGTAAATACATATAAGATAAAATGTATATATAGACAAATTAGAAGATAAATATAATGTACAGGTAAATGTAAAATTTGTAATATCTTTAAGTTTACAAAAACGGCATCAAAGTTTACATGGTTCTTAAAACTTCCCATGTCTTCTTAAACAACATTCTTCCCTGTTGCTCCTTGTTTTACATGAAGCTCTTGGTGTTTATCCATATCTCCTCTACAGTAGCCCACAAGGCAACCAGACCACATATCCTTTGTATATTTCTTCACTTACCAAACTTTTGGTTGTCTCCCATTTTTGGCAATCTCATTTGCAAACAAGTTTGCAATAAATGTGCATGCAACCCTCCTTGTGCACACAACAAAGTATTTCTCTAGGGCAAATATTTAGAATTAGAATTGCTAGAGCATAGAGTGTGCATATCTTCAGTTTTATAAAATTATGACAATTGCAAATTAATTTACAACTGGATGCATTAGAGCAGCAATAGAATTCATTGAAATACTGCAGAAAGATGCTTGAACTAATCACCAAATTATAAATTTAAATTTATCACTGGATTGATTTGGAAGTCGCACTGTTAGGTGTCTTTGTGGTCAAAATTCTTGAACTCCTTCATGAGTAAACAAGATATACTCTCCCACCAGAAGTTCTCATTACTCCAAGTGCCACTCAATGAGGCCACCTTCAGCCATACCCCATTCTTAGTGCTGAGGCCTGTGCAAGAGTCTCTTCCTAAGAAACCATGTATGGTCAGAGACCCACAGACTTGCTCCAAATTACTTAAATTCTAGCCAGGTTGGGGCCAGCACTGTGACACAGAGAGTTAAGATGCTGCCTGCAGTGCCAGCATCCCATATGGGCATCAGTTTGAGTCCCGGCTACTTTGCTTCGATCCAGATCGCTGATAATATATTAGGGCCATTTGGAGAGTGAACCAGTGGATAGAAGATCTTTCTCTTTCTTTCTCTCTCTCTGTATCTCTGCCATTCAAATAAAGAAATCTTTTTTTTAAAAAAATCTAATTAAGCATATTCAAATGTGTCAACATTAATATGTTAATACATAGTCTTCTTTAGTGTCTACTAATACTAACTGATAGAATTAAAAAGGAGAGAAAGATCCAACATGGGAAGCGGGATACACAGCAGATTCATAGAATGGCAGATGTCCTAAAACAGCACTCTGGCCTCAGAATCAGCCCTTAAGGCATTTCGATCTGGCTGAAGAGCCCATGAGAGTATTTTAGAGGCATGGAAAGCCAAGACACTTTGGCAAAAAAAAAAAAAAAACCTAAATGAAAGATCTCTGCGAGTGAGATCCCAGTGGAAAGAACAAGTCATCATAGAAGGAGGTACCTTTCTCTGAAGGGAGGAGAGAACTTCCACATTACTATGACCTTGTCTAAGTAAGATTGCAGTCGGGCAAACTCAAAAGGCTTCCATAGCCTTGGCAACTCATGACAAGAGCCTAGGGAGATTACTGACGCCATAAACAAGAGTATCAATTTGTTCAGTTAACAACAGGAATCTCTGTGCACTTACTCCTCATGTAGAATTTCTGTTCTTAATGTGTTGTACAATGTGGATTAATGCTATAACTAGCACTCAAACGGTATTTTTTACTCTGTGTTTCTGTGTGGGTGCAAACTGTTGAAATCTTTACTTAATATATACTAAATTGATCTTCTGTATATGAAGATAATTGAAAATGAATCTTGATATGAATGGAATGGGAGAGGGAGCAGGAGATGGAAGGGTTGCGGGTGGGAGGGATGTTATGGGGGGGGAGGAGCCACTGTAATCCATAAGCTGCAATTTGGAAATTTATATTTGTTAAATAAATGTTTAAAAAATCTGAGGAAAAAAGTACATAGTCTTCTTTGCTGTTATCTGGTCACATAAAGTTTTATACATTATGAACAGAAACTGTAGGGAAAGGTCTCCTTTCACAAATTTATTTATGTAGCTTTAAAGATTTATTTGAAAGGTACTGTTTAAAGATTTTTAAAGATTTATTAATTTGAAAGAACTACAGAGAGAGAGGGAGAGACAAAGAGATCTTCCATCTGCTGATTCACTCCCTAAATGGACACAACGGCTAGGGCTGGGCCAGGCTGAAGCCAGGAGCCTATAACTCCATCCGGGTCTCCCACATGGGTGGCAGGGGCCCAGGCACTTGGGCAATCTTCTATTGCTTTCCCAGGAGCATTAAGAGGGAGCTGGATGGGAAGCAGGGCAGCCAGGACCCAAACCCATACTCATATGGGATGTCAGCATGCCAAGCAGCAGTTTCACTCACTCACATGATGCTGGTTCCGCCCTTCACAATGTTAATCCCTGCACCTTGCGATTGCATACAGGGCACTATACAATGCATTATCTAGAGTTGGGCAGACATTTTTGAAAATCAGATCACTTGAATTCAAATGACCACCAAATTTGAGTGATACTGCTTTCTGTGTAAATAAGTTTACCCAAAAGTACAATTCATTTTCCCACACTGCCACTATTTTGCTGAAAATTAGTCACTAAAAACTTCACTTGTACAAAAATCTGTCATGTATTTAAAATTTCTTTTAACAAGAAATCAAAAAGTGAATTACTGTATCACTTTTTTCATTGTGATATACAAAATATCCAAAATAATCATAATAATAACAAGCACCATTTAGCATAATTTTCATCCCATTCATTATTCATTGGAACTCAATTTGGTAGTAATTCTGCTCATTGCAGAATAAACTTGCAGATAAAAATTGAGCTCGTGGTACTTACTGGCAGTAGTAAAAACAAGAGTTTGTCTGTCTCCCCT